AATCAAAATCACGGGATACCACTTCACACACCACTATCTGAACGGCTATAGTTCAAAAAAAAAGGTCATCAACAACTGTTGGCAAGGATGTGGAAAAACTGTGGAACCCTCATGCACTGCTGGTAGGAAGAGAAAATGACGTAGATGCTGTGGAAAAGTTTTACAGTTCTTAAAGAAGTTAAAGCTATGAACACTAGGACCCAGCAATTCCACTCCTGGGTTTATACACCAAAGAATTGAAAGCAGGTACTCAAACAGATATTTGTATGCCAATGTTCACTGCAGTATTATTCACAATAGCCAAAAGATGGTAACAGGTGAATAGATAAAACAAAATGTGCTATATTCATATAACAGAATATTAGTCAACCATAAAGAGAAACGAAGTTCTGATACATGTTACAAGGATGAACCTTAAAAACATTATGCTAAGTGAAATAAGCCAGATACAAAAGGACAAATGTTCTATGATTCCACTTATATGAAATATCTTCAATAGACAAATATATAGAGACAGAAAGTAGTTTAGTAGTTACCAAGGGAAGAGGGAATGGGGAGTTATTGTTTAATGGGTACAGAGTTTCTGTCTAAACTGATGACAGAATTTTGAAAATAAATAGTGGTAATGTTGGATAACATTGTGAATACAATTAATGCCATTGAATTATACAACTAAAAATGGCAAGTTTTATGTTATATATGTTTTACCACAATAAAGAAAAGCAATGTCATCTGTTTAATACAGGGGTATAGGATCTTTATTGACAGGAAGTTTGAAGGGAGAAAGGTGAAAGTATGAAATTATCACACTGAGGAGAAAAAGGAAGATAACTAGCAGTTGCCAAAGCACGGCCTGAAAAGCTCAGATCATCAATGCGGAATTATTACACTACTGATCAGATTGAAAGACACTATGAAGCAACTCATAGTTTTTATAAATGTCAGAAGGTACCTATAGGAATGCAACCTGGCCACTGCCATTCCATCACTTAGAACAAAAAACACAATGAATAATAAGATGACAAAATACGAGATAATTTAAGTTGCAATACTTGAATATATACATCACATGGTTTTGAATTAGGGTTCAAATTTCTAGATCAGTAACATTTATTTACTATGTGTGGACTTGAGAACTCCTCAGTTAGTTGTTATTTATTTAAATGAAACATACTGAAGTCCACAGACATGTATACAGCTTCTTCGGCACTATAAAACTTTTCCTTAAAGAATGCTTCACCTTTGCAATGAATCCTTTTTCCGTGAACCAAGCATACAAACAGGTAGACATATCTATTAAAGGCAATCCCTGGAATACAAACAAATTTCATTCCTAAGTCTGTCTTTAAGTCAAATTTGTAGTAAGTCGGTACAGTTAGGTTACAGTTCATATCTAACATCAGTTAGACAAAGGTTTGCTTTGTATACAGTATACAGTATACCTTTCTGCACATAAAAAATATTAAACACTTCCAGATACACTAAAATATCTTTAACATAATAATACAGTAATAATAATAATGTTTTGATGCACTTGCAAAGTATGCCCGTTATTATGAACTACTGTATGTACCTCGAATTTTTAATAGAAAAGACTGGTTCATAACTATGGGTGTACCTAAGTCAGACTTTTGTGACCCGGGGACTGCCTGTACCGATTTAAAATCTGTTTAAAAAATGCCTTGACATTTCAATGAGGTGGGTAAGCCTTCCTTTACATTTAAATAATAGCTGCAAAAATACCATGCCATCAGCTCTCCCGTAAGATGAAAGGATAAGGTCACGTGTCCCATCAGCTTCTTTAATACTAACTACTGTACTGAAAATCCTTAGTTCCTTCTTGGTGGTATAATATATGATATTTTATACCCAGTATTCCAAAAATAGACATCCTGATAAAACATGCAAACATACATTAAAGTGTTCAGGTCACATTAATGCTTTCCTTTAACATTAATTTCATGTAAAAATAGCTTAGTTTTAGAAAAAAAGAAATTTGTTAAATATTTTCTTTAATTGTACACTTGCTTCTTTCTTTAGAAAATAGTAATTTGGTTATATTTTCCACACTATTAACAGCAGGAAAAAAAAAACCCAAGACATTAAAAAAAGACTAAAATGCTTGCTTGACACAGTGCAACAGTGTGGATGTTAAAGATGAGACCATTACAACACTGTTACTTTGTGGTTGTTAGTGGATTCCAACTCATGGCAACCTGATGTGTACAGAGCAGAACTGTACTCCATAGGGTTTTCAAAACTGTGTGTGACCTTTTGGAAGCAGATTGCCAGGCCTTACTTCCAAGGTGCCTCTGGGTAGACTTAAACTGTCAACTCTTCATGTAGTACTCCCACACAACCATCTTCACGACCCAGGGACTCCTGTTGTTAGTTTAGAAACACTGTTTATTATGATAGAAAAAATAGTTCTTAAGTAATCGTTATAATTTCATCAATGATTCATGTTATTGAAAACAATGTCTATTTCTTCCACTACTTTGCCTTCATTATCAACATTACAAAGCTAATATTTCAAGGCCATCAATAAAAATGGGCACAAATGATTTTTTAATGCTCACAAGATAAATTCTTGTTGAAACTGTTAAACCCAAAATAACTGCTACTGCAAAGACAAGGCAAAATTATTGTACGCTACTTTATATATCAGGTTATCGTTCTCAATGGCATTTGTTTTGTGACATCACAATTTTTAGTTCTATATATGCCCATAATCATCAAAACATAATTAAATGGCATATAAATTAATCTATCTACAATATAAATTGTGCTGTTCAGTTATGTTATATTAAATCTTCCCATAGTTACTTTGAGATAAATTCCCTCTTCATCCCTTTTATCATGCATTGTTTGAAGTAGGCCCTATACAGAGGACTCTTTTTGCAAATTAATTCCCCTTCTTACCTCCACTGTGTGACTTTCCAGTTTACAAAGGCCAGGGCTTGCAATAAAAGTCTACAGGTTTTAAAGAGCTATTATCAAGGAAACTGAGAAGCTGGACTATATGAAGAACATGGCATCAAGATTGGAGGAAGACTCATTAACCACCTGTGATACGCAGATGACACAATCTTGCTTGCTGAAAGTGAAGAGGCCTTGAAGCACTTACTGATGAAGATCAAAGACTACATACAGCCTTCAGTATAGATTACACCTCGGTGTAAAGAAAACAAAAATCCTCACAACTGGACCAATAAGAAACATCATGATAAACAGAGAAAAGATTGAAGTTGTCAAGGATTTCATTTTACTTGGATCCACAATCAACACCCATGGAAGCAGCAGTCAAAAAACAATGTATTGCCTTGAGCAAATATGCTGCAAAAGACCTCTTTAAAGTGTTCAAAAGCAAAGATGTCACTTTGAAGACTAAAGTGTGCCTGACCCAGTCATGGTATTTTCAATTGCGTCATATGCATGCAAAATCTGGACAATGAATAAGGAAGAATTGATGCCTTTAAATTATGGTGTTGGCGAAGAATACTGAATATACTACAGACCGCCAGAAAAATGAACAAATCTGTCTTGGAAGAAGTACAGCCAGAACGCTCATTAGAAGCAAGCATACTTAGTCTCACTTTGGACATGTTATCAGGAGGGACCAGTCCCTGGAGAAGGACATCATACTTGGCAAAGTAGAGGGTCAGTGAAAGAGAGGAAGACCCTCAATGAGACAGATTGACACAGTGGCTCCAACAATGGGACTTAAACATAGCAAGGATTGTGAGGATGTGCATGAGAGGGCAGTGTTTCGTTCAGTTGTACGTAGGATTGCTATGAGTCAGAACCGACTCAATGGCACCTAACAGCATCAAGGAAATCAACTTTCAGCCTAGCTATCCCTTTACCCTTCTTCTATAAAGAAGATGGGATACTTAGGAAAGATATGTACTATCCTCACTGGACCCTACCCTTAATATACAGGTTCACTGTACTTCAGTAGAAGCCAATGCAGGAGCCTTTTGTTACATTCCTGCAAGAATAAAAGGAAAAAGTTGTGAAAAGAAAAAAAGAGAAAGTCAGAAATTCAAATTTTACATTAAAATATGCTCGGACTATGATGCCAGAAAGGGAGAAAGTTAGAAAGGGAATGGGGGGGGCGGGGGGAGGAGAGGAAGCGGGTGGAAGGGAGGAGAAAGAAAGGAAAGGGAGGAGGGGGTCAGGAAAGGGAGGAGGTGGGTGTGGAATGCATACATCTGTTTCTTAAAGTAATCAGTGCCGCTGCCAACCTAGCTGATTTGGATAAGCCTTGATATGCACAAAATTCAGAGGTGGGTTCATTCACGGAGAGTGACATGAGTCACACAGTCTTATTCTGAACAACTTTAGACTGTGAATGGGGATGGAATACACAGAAACACACTGCCGGGGAGAAAAGTCCATTCAGACTTTTCTGAAGGCGCTTATCCTCAGGAACAGAACTCTCGTTTTAGGTTTCCCCTAAAGTTCTGGGTTTCAAAAGTTACACTGCAGCACAGAAGGAGGAATCTAGAAAAGGGGGAAACACCTGAAGGTGGGGACACTTTGCGGGGAGTGGGGGGCAGGGGCGAGTACAGAATGGATGAGGGTACAGCAGGGTGCAGCGGGGCGCAGAGGCGCAGCAGTAGCTGCAGCCGATATGCCTGCCGGAGGGCACGTGTCCGTGGGACACCCAGCACCGTGTCAAAGTCCCAGCTGGGGTCCGAGGACCTGGATGGGGGAACTCTGGAAGTCGAGGTTGGGCGAGAAAGCTGAGCGGGCGCGGCCAGCTGGAGAGGGGCGTGCGCCCACACGTGCCCCAGCTGCAGGTGCCGGGGGCGGCGCGTGCACGCCGGTGTGCGCGCGAGTGTACACACCGACACGGGAGGGAGGCGGCACCGGCCGGGACGGCGCGAGGCAGGAGCTCTGGTCGGGGGCGCCGCAGCACACACAGCCCTAACCCTGACCCCCGCCCCCACCCCAGCCCCACTCCCCGCACCCCCAAGATTCGACAGGCCAGTTACCTTTCTCCTCTCTCCACACCTTTTTCTTCTTGTTGCTGGGGTACATGTTGCCGTGGGGGTGGCTGGCTTTAAGCTGCAAGTTCCCCAGGCTCACGGGCAAACAGGGTGTGTATGGAGTGGGAGGGGTGGGAGGGGGCACTCGGGAGGGAAAAAGTGAAAGAGGCTCTAGGTCCAGCGCCGCTCCTCGCTCGCCTGTCGCCGCCCTCCTCCCTAGCCCGCGATAGCCTCCGGCTCCCACCTGCCTCAGCCCTGCTGCCGCCGCTACAGCAGCACCTCAGAGCCTGTCAACTAGGTCACGCCTCGCGCTAACCTAACACCCGCGCAGGCCCCGCCTCCCAGCCTCTTGGCAGCGCCGCCTTCCATTGGCTGCACCGCCCGCCGCTCTCCGCCTTCCAGCCACCGAGCGCCCCGACTACGGCCCCAGAGCGCAGGCGCAGGCGCAGGCCCGGGCCCGTCGCCGAGGACCTTAGGGAGCTGGAGGGGGAGGAGCCAGCGCGAGATGGGGCTGTAGACGGTCGCTCGATAGGGGCGTGGCGTGCAGCGGGCGCCTCGTAGGAGAGGGAGGTGGCCAGAGCTTACAGCTGGACCGCGCCAGGAGACTCTGAAGGCGTGGCTTTTGGAGCAGGTGCTCCAGGTGACTTGGGTAAAAGTGGGCAAAAACTGCCTCACTGACTGGAGGATGTGGAGGTGGGGAGGAGACCGTGGGTAAATAGGAATTCTGCGTGCCCTCTCCAACTGCTCCGTCCTGCGCAGATTTTACCAGATAATCTGAAGCTTTTCTTTTGGTGGGCAAATAAAACCTAAAGAAGTAATAGTACTGGGAGATGGTTCCAGACCTTAAGCAAACGGCTTCTGAACCTTGTAGTAAAAATTATATATTTCATTGGAATTCGGTGAAATTTGAAAGGAATGAAGGTAAACTGGACTACGTACTTAAGGGTTATAAGAACCAGGAGACAGTGGGCAACCAAAATATTAGCTTGGAAACAGAAGTCATACATAAAGACAAAAACAAATTCAACTGGTTGTTAAGCAGAGCCAGGTCATCATATAATTTCATTCCTGTCTTGATTTATGGGTAATACTAATCTGTTTGTGTTATGAAATTCTGGTTCCAAAAGAGCCCACCACAAGAATAGAGTGACCTAGATTCCTGAGGAAGCTTTCTCTCACCCCCAGTATTGTGTTGCTAAATATTAGGCCATCCACAGGCTGGTTGGTAGATGTGGTAAATCCACATTTATTCAGCAATTCCAGTGCTCTGTTAACATATATTGTACTTAAGCCAGGTGTACAAAGGAAAATAATTTGGGGGGACACATATTTTTATAATAAGTGGCAAAAGGAAGAAAGGGATTGGCCCGTTAAGAATCGTAAAGAATGGAATGTTCTGAGTAAAGAAACATACTCATAGGATGATTCATAACATAGTAAGGCAATGATTTTTATTTTGACACTGTCTCTGCTTCTGTTTTGCTTTTAATCCTGTGAAATACATAAGAGTTATTCTGGCTGGGAGAAATAGGGAAAGCTTCAAGAAGGAAGTGACATTTGACTAGTAATAAAATTTATTGTTAACAGAAATTAAAAGGAGGGTTCTGATTCAAGAGCCATTTCCAAAACAAAATCAATAGAATTTTTAACGGAATAGTTTGTGAGGGAAGGATAAGGAAGAGAAAGAAGACAAGGGTTTCATGGGATAGGTAAGAAGGAGAATAGCAATATTAATTATATTAGGCAATACTGGAGCAGTTGCAGATTTTATGGGAAAGATATTGAGTTCTTATTTAGTGGTGCTAAATGTAAGGTGTCTGCAGGAAGGTACACCATATGGACACCTTCCCTTCCGTTATAATACGAAAGCTATTTCTACTCCAGCCTAGGACCAATCCTTCCACCTGTGCGTATTAGAAACAGTGCACTGTTGATTATCCCTCCTGTCATGTGAACTCAAAGAACTGGAACATCCATCAACTTTTAAATTTTCTCAAGTCTCTCCCATGTTAAAAAAAAAAAAAAAAAGCCTTCTTACCATCTCATATCCCCCTCCAGATAGAACTTCTCCTTCCCTTCAAAAAGATTCTATACCTGCTCTGTCAATTTCCATACATCTCACTCCCTCTTCTCAGTCCACTCAAATCTGGATTCTGTCCCCATCAGTAACCTGAAATCGCTCTCACTAACGTGATGAATGACCTTCATGTGCCTAACTTAATGATCATTTTTCAGTCTTACAAGATCTCTTGGCAGTATTTGACACTGCTGACTTTTCATTCCTCTTTGCAGCATCCTTTTATTTTGATTTCAATACCCTTTTGAGTTTCCTCCTTCCTGTCTGGCCATTCTTTCTCAGTTTCTGTTATGGGTAAAACTGTGTCACCCAAAAATGATGTTGAAGCCCTAACCCCTGTACGTGTGAATGTAACCTTGTTTGGAAATAGAGCTTTTCTTTTGTTAAATGAGATCATTCCAGAGTAGAATGGGTCCTAATCCTAATTGTTCTGAGTATTTTTTAATAAAAGAGAAGAACAGTCGCAAAAACAGAATCATACATGGGGCAAGGTGCTCTATGAAGTACATCTATAAGCAGCAAAAGAGCACCAAAGATTGCCAGCAACCACTAGGAGTTAAGAAAGAGGCTGGAACAGTTCTTTTCCCAAGGCCCTCAGAAGGAATCAGCATGCCCAATACCTTGAATTCAGAGTTCTAGCCTCTGGAACTGTGAGAAAGTAAATTTCTATTCTTTAAGGCCACTTACTTTATGGTATTTTGTTATGGCATCCCTAGGAAACAGTGACAGAGAGTAAACGTGCTGCACTGACAAATACCTAAAAATGTGGAAACGGCTTTGGGAATGGGTGGTAGGTAGAGGCTGGAAAATTTTTGAGGTGCTTAATAGTAAAAGCCTAAATTACCTTAAAGAGACTGTTGATAGAATTACGGACTTAACAGGTGATTCTGGTGGGGGCTCAGAAAGAAATGAGGAGAACTATAGAGAAATCTTCTATAATCTTGGATAAAATATTGCTAGAAATGTGGATGTTAAGTGTGCTTCTGGTGAGGCCTTAAAAGGAAATGATGAACATGTTATTAGATACTGGAGGAAAGGTAATCCTTCTTATAAAGTAGCAAAGAACTCAGCTGAATTATGTTCAAATGTTTTGTGGGAAGTAGAACCTGTTAGTAATGGGCTTGGATATATGGCTGAGGAGATTTTTAAGCAAAATTTGGAAGGTGTAGTATTGTTTCTCCTTACTGCTTACAGTAAAATGAGTGAGGAAATGGATAAATTAAGGTAAGAACTGTGCAAAAAGAAAGCATAACTTGAAGATTTGGAAAATTCTGTTGTAAAAATTAAGAAAGCATGCCCTGGAAAGAACACTAAGGTTATAAATACACAATCATTTGCCAAAGAAATTAGACGTGTGACCTGTGGATCCAATCAACCATGTCAGCTGAAGCACTGTCAATTTAGACTGAAGGAGACAGAAACAAGATGAAATGAAGGAAAGTTATCTGACTCCTGGCAGAAAATGGGACAGTGGAGCTACTTGACTGTGAACATCTGTTGTCCTCCAAGAAAAGGAAAGGACTCTCCTAAGATTGGCTCTGTGAACCTTGACAAATTAGTCAAACTCTCTGTGTCTTGGTTTTCTTATTAATTATATGGAGATAATAATACAGTACCTACCTTATAAGATTGCTATGAGGATTACTTGCATTAAAAAAAAAAAAACACTTAGAACAGTGACTACCACATAGTAAAGGTGACAGAGATGCTCACTCTTATTGTTTCCTCTCTCTTGGCACACAGGACGACTATATTTCCCAGCCTCCCTTGCAGTTAGAGCATATGACTACATTTTGAATTAATTATAGGGCAGAAGTGATGTATGCTATTTCCAGACCTGACTATCAAACTTTCTATGCGGTAGTCCATATTCTCTTTTTCCTTGCCACAGTTATCTAAGAAGCAGCATCTCAAAAAGGAAGGAGCTTGGATCCCTGAGTCACTGCTGGGAGGAGTAACTCAGGAATCTAAGGACCACTACATCTGCCTGTGGTGTAAACAAGAAATACATTTTTATTTTGTTAAGGCACTAGTATTTAGAGGGCATTTGTTTCAAAAGTTAGCATTAATTACTCTGAAAAAAAATACTATTATCATTCAGTAAGTGTTAGATATTAATATTTAATGTCTAAAAGTTGAAATGCAACATGTAAGATACTGAACTCATGATCTTTATCCCACACTTGGTCAGTGTTCCCTGTCTTTTTTAATGGCTCTATCACCCATTCATCTGAACAATCTGGAAACGTAAGCACCATCCCTGGTACCTCTTACAAGTTCACTTCATATCAAAATGCATTGCTATACTTGTTCAATTTTATCATAATTCTTGAATTCCTCCACTTTCTAATACCACCAAAATAAGCTGTTTGAATTTAACTGGATTACTACAAAGACTTCCTAAATGACTCTGAAATCCACTTTTGCCCCTCTTCTGTCTATTGTCGACACTGCATCTAGAGTTATCTTGCCAAATTTGGTCATGTCACCTCACTATTGTAAATCATTCAGTGATTTTTTTTGGTGGTGGTATAAAAACTAAACCATTGGTAATAGAGTGACCATTGCCTACCGATCCAGCCTTATTTTATACCATGCCCCATCACCACCCCAAACCCTATCCCCTGATCCCAGCCATACCAACCTTAGAGCATTTCATTTACTTGAACACATCTTGTTCTCACCACATGGCCTTTATACTTTTGTCCCTATGCCTGACATGTGATTTGTGTAGTTGTCCATTCTCATTCTTCAGATTTCAGGTTAAACATCACACTCTGGGGAAGGCTTCCCTGCATCTGACCCTACCCAAATTCTACCCTCAGTTTTCCATTTTAAGACTTCAGTGCTCATTTATTTTCCTATAAACTACTTTTTACAGTTTGTAATTATACATTTATTATTTCTGATACATTTTATTAATACATCTATTTCCTGCTGGGCTTATAAACTCCCTGAGAATGACATAAAGTCAAGCAAATAATAGACTATCATTAAGTATTTATTAAATGAATGAATGCTAAACAAGCACCCATATAGAGATGTTGGCAAAAGTAAGGAAGAGCACATAGCAATCAAAATGAGTAACCATGAGTAAACCCTAATTTTAATGGGAAAACTGAGAAAGGAATTTACAAATGAAATTAGGCAATACCTCAAAGAGATTTTACCATTTATCTTTAGCATTTAATAGGTATTCAATACATGAATGACTGAGTGAATGAATGATAGAAGAATGAGAAGTTGTGCTCGAGTGTAGGAAAATAATCATAATTCAATTTTTACAAAATCCAAAATGTTATATATTTTCAAGAAGGTGTTTGTAGTCAGAAATGTCAGATGTCTTACAGAGATCAAGTAAAATGAGAACTGAGAAAAGATAATTGGATTTATAATCTGTGTAAATCAGTAGAAATAAACACAAGGAGTTGCAGAGTAAGTGAGAGGCAACAAGCCGGAAGCAATGATTATGGACTTTTCTTTTGAGATATTTAGATGTTAAAAGAAAAGTAAAGGAGATAGTAGCTGAATGCACACCAGAGTCAAGGGAAAAATTTTTTTAGGAAAGGTGAAATGAAGAGTGTTTAAATTAAGGAGAAAGATGGGGACAAAAAAATTGAAACAGAAAATGAGAGAAGAAGAAGGCTAAGTGTTAGAGTAAACTACCAGAGAAAGTAGAAGTAGATAAAATCAAAGTGAAAGAAGAAGGCTTGGGCTTAGAATGCAGGAAGGGCATTTAATCTTTTGTCAAAAATTAGAAGAACAAATAAGTGAAGATCCAAGGAACATTTTTAATTAAAAATGGAAGAAAGTCAAGGGAACATAGACAAAACAGTCTCAATTTCAGTGGAAATAGAAGGCTATGTCATCTCCTAAAAGATACTGATAATTCTGGATCTGAATGGGGACTCAAAAAAAGTTTGTTTCGAGGATATTTAAAGAAAGCTATTTCAAACAGTTTCAATAAATTATATTTAGGAAATCTAAAGTATGGTAGTTACCAAAACCAAACCCATTGCCGTCGAGTAGATTCCGACTCATAGCGACCCTATAAGACAGGGTAGAACTGCCCCATAGGGTTTCCAAGGAGCAACTATTTAGCAGCTGTAACTCTTAATCACTGCGCCACCAGGGCTCCATATGGAAATTAGGGAAGTTCAGTTTTAAAGTCTCTTGGTAAAAGGAAAAGACAAGGACTGTGGTAGACTGAATAACAGCCCCCAAGAGAACCCCTGGAATGTGTAAATGTCACCTTATATGGCAAAAGGGACTTTGCACATTTGATTAAGAATCTTGAGTTGGGGAGATTATTCTGGATTATCTGGATGGGCCCTAAGCGTACTTATAAAAGGAGACGGAGGGAGATTAGACAACAAAAGAGGAGAAGGCAGTGTGACAATGGGGTAGAGATTGGAGTGATGCAGCCACAAAACGAGGAATGGCAGCAGCTACCAGAGCTGAAAGATTCTAGGCAAAGCATGGATTCTCCCTGGAAGCCTCCAGAAGGAACCGGCCCTGCTAACACCTTGATTCTAGCCCAGTAAGTCTCCTTTTGGACTTCTGACCTCTAGATCTGTAAGAGAATAAATTTTTTGTTGTTTTAACCTAGTAAATTTGTAGTAATTTGTTACAACCACAAGGGAAACTAATACATGGAGTAAACCTGTAAACTCAAGTACAATAAATGTGCCTGTTTCTAAAGTAATTACCTGAACACACCTAAAAGTTGGATATATTTTAGGCATCATTTGTCAGCCAGCTCCATTCCTTAAAAAGCCTGTTGTTGTCGAGTCAATTCCAACTCATAGCAACCCTATAGGAAAGAGTAGCACTGCCCCCATAGGATTTCCAGGGAGTGGCTGGTGGAATCGAACTGCCGACCTTTTAGTTAGCAGTTGTAGCTCTTAACCACTCTGCCACCAGAGCTCCAGCTCCATTCCATAGATATTCTTAATGTTTCTGTGCTTACTCCCTAAACATTCCTTTTGACTTCTGGACCTAGCCTTGTGAGTACTCACTTGTAAAATGCCCATGTTGCTTGAGCAAGTAAAGAAGAGATTTTTAAACCAAGTCATTGGTGGCTTGGATTTGTTTTGCCTTTGCCCCAGTAAAAGCCCACCAGTTCCTAATGTGAACTGAGGATAAAGATTTCCATCCAGACTGGGAACAAACAGACTTGGTCCTTGTCCACTCTAACCTTGAGATGTTAGATTAAAGTAGGATGTCAGCTCAGCTCGCGTACTTAATTATGCATCTTACACCTCTAGAGTGGGAGCCCTGGTGGCACAGTGCTTAAGAGCTTGGCTGCTAACCAAAAGGTTGGCAGTTTGAATCCACCAGCTGCTCCTTGGAAACCCTCTGGGGCAGTTCTCGTCTGTCCTGTAGGGTCACTGTAAATCGGGATCGACTCTATGGCGATGGGTTTTGGCACCTCTAGAGTAACATAAAAAGAAGAGTTTCCAACAACCCTGAACATGGTTGAACATTAGTATGGACATGTACACATTGGACTTCTAGTCCTTTCCGTTTGTTTCAGAGAGTATCCCCTACCTATTTCAAGTCTACACCATCTCTCCAGCCAGAGGAGTAGCCAACTAGTTATGGTTCCCTTCCACAGCCTGCTCTCTCCAGCAGCTGCCTTCATTCCGAGTTGAAAGGAACTTCCTTGGAGCCTATTGGCTCAAGAGTAAGGAAATTGTTGCTTAGCAACTAAATCACAGACCTGAGAAGAGGAAACTTGTGGGCCAGCCACCTAGTTCAGCCTGTGTTACAGTGAGGAAGAGCTGCTTAGGAGAAAATGAAGCCCTTGTCCCTGTTAATAGAGATATTGATTCTTGGGGTCACAATTAAAAGTAAGTTCTTCTGTCCCTATGGTTCTCTATAATGGTTTTTTCTCTTTGCTCCAGCAGCACTGAGCGTGGACGCTGACTGGAAAATAATTGAAGTAACCTCACTGTTTTTGCAGTTGACACTGTTCTTTGATGTTTTTATTTTTGTTCGATACCATCAGGTCGATTCCGACTCATTGCGACCCCATGTGACAGAGTAGAACTGCCCCATAGTGTTTTCTTGGCTGTAATCTTTAAGGAACAGATCTCCAAGTCTTTCTCCCACAGAGCCACCAAACTTTTGGTTATTAGCAGAGCATTGTGTCACCAGGGCTCCTTTGTTCTTCTTGGATAAGTGCTTAAAAATCCAATAAGGATACATACTAATGATGTACTCATTTGAGACAATAGTTGGGAAAGGTGTGTGCGTGTAGAATAAATAAGAAATGAAGATCTAGTTCCAGGACTTTAAAGGAACAGTATAGGACTCAAAGAGTGGAAAAGTACTATATAAAAAAATACATATATAACAAATTTATATATAAACAAAGTATATGTGTGTGGGTGTGCACACACACATATATATACCTATGCTTATAATCTTTAAAATCTTTACATACTCTACTTACAAAGTTTTGATATTTTCTAACTAGTTACTGTCTAAAAAAGGAACATTATTTTCCAGTATAGTTTCTATTTTTATGCATAATGAATTCAACTCAAGAAATATTTATTTGGGCCTCACACCATACACAAAAACTCAAAATGGATTAAGGACCTAAATGTGCAAACTAAAACCATAAAATTCTTAGAAGAAAATGTAGGGAGAACACTCTCAGGCCTAGCTTTTAACAATGGATTATCCAATATAATAACAAAAGCACAAGCAACAAAAGACTAAATAAATAAATAGGACCTCATAAAAATTAAAAACTTTTGTTCATCAAAAGCCTTTACCAAAAAAGTGAAAAGACAAGCTGCTTACTGGGAGAATGTCTTTGGAAACCATATGTCCCGATAAGAATCTAATAACCAAAATTTATATAAAACTTTGACAACTTAACAGTAAAAAAACAAGTAACCTAGTCATAAAATGGGCAAAGGACTTGAATAGACATTTCACCAAAGAGAACGTTCAAATGGGCACCAAACAGATGAAAAGATACTCAATGTAGTTAGCCATCAGAGAAATGAAAATCAAAACCATAATGAGATGCCATTTCACTCCCACTAGGATGATTTAAAGAAAAAAAACAGAAAATAACAAATGTTGGTGAGGATGTATGGAAATTGGAACCCTTTATAAATTGCTGGTGGGAATGCAAACTGACAGCTTTTGTGGAAAACAGTCTGGTGGTTCCTCAAAAAACTAAATACAGAGCTACCATATGACCCCGCAATTCTACTCCTAGGTATATACTCAAAAGACTTGAAAGCACAGACTCAAGCAGATACTTGTACACCAATGTTCCCTGAGCACTATTCACAATAGCCAAAAGGTGGAAACAACCTAAATGTCCATCAGCAGATGAATGGATAAACAAAATGTGATACATACATACATACAATGGAATACTACTCAGCCAGTAGAAGAAATGAAGTCTTGATACTTGTTACAATATAGATGGAGCTTGAAGATATTATGCTGACTGAAATAAGTCAGTCACAAAAGGACAAATACTGTATGACCTCCCTTATGTAAAAAGACAAGAAAAGGCAAATGTGTAGAGACCAAAGTTTATTAGTAGTTACAAGGGATAACCGAAGAAGAATTGATGCATTTGGATTATGGTGTTGACAAAGAATATCGAATATACCATGGACAGAAGAACAAATCTATCTTGGAAGAAGTACAGCCAGAATGTTCGTTAGAAGTGAAGATGGCAAGACTTTGTCTCATGTACTTTGGACATGTTATCAGGAGGGACCAGTCCCTGGAGACGGACATCATGCTTGGTAAATTAGAGGGTCAGAGAAAAAGAGGAAAATCCTCAATGAGATGGATTGACACAGTGACTGCAACAGTAGGCTCCAGTATAGCAACGATTATGAAGATGGCGCAAGACCGGGCAGCTTTTCATCTCTTTTACATAGGGTCACTATGAGTCAGAACTGACTTGGTAGCACCTAGCAACAAAACAACTAGAGGTGGAAGGGAGGAGAAAAGGTAACGGGGTTAACAGTGATGGAAAAATCGCAGTGATTAAGGGCACAGCCGATTATTGTAATTGCTATCAATAAGTTGTACGCTTGTGAAAAGCTGAATTGGCAAAAGTTGTGTGATATATTTATGGGGAAAAAAAAAAAGAGTAGCTGCTGAGGCTGGTTATGTACAACCAAAAACCTCATGGGATTTGGTTCCTTGGTTGGAGGTTTAGGGTCATAGTTTCATGGAACATCCCAGTTAATTGGCCTAATGTGTTTAGTGCTTCTAGTCTTCCTCTTAGTTTGTTGCATAGTGCCTGGGATCTTGTTGTTGTTAGGTGCTGTCGATTTGGTTCTGACTCATAGCAACCCCATGTACAACAGAACAAAACACTGCCCGGTCCTGCTAAAAGCTTGCAGATGGCCATCCAAGCCACGACAATTGGTCTCTATTTGCCTAGAGCAACAGAGGAAGAAGGAGAGTCAGGAATAGGAGGAATAAATGGAATGCGTGGCTAATTGCCTCCATGAACAACTGCCTCCTTTGCCATGAGACCAGAAGAACTGGATGGTACCCAGCTACCATTACTGAAGATTTTGATCAAAGATTCTATAGAAGAATCCTGATCAAAAGGGGGGAAATACAGAAGAGAATTTCAAATTCTCACAGTCTCTAGACTTTCTGGAGACATGGGCTGGGTGAATCCCTGAAACTATTGCCCTGAGATAGTCTTTAAAACTTAAACCAGAAATATTCCTTGAAGTCTTCTTAAAACCAAACAATAGTTTAGCTTAACTACCAAAATAAAAGTATTAAGCTCTTTTAAGAACTATCTATATGGGGTCAAAGAGACAACACCATCTCCAAAGATTAGATAGGAACCTTAGGGGGCAGTGAGTTTATGTTAATGAAAGAGGAACAACTCGGAAAAGGAGGATGAGAGTGGTTGCACAACTGGAAAAATGTCATCAATGGCATGAATTGTACATGTAGAAACAGTTGAATTGGTGTATGTTTTGCTGTGTATATTCTCAACAACAACAATGAAATGGAATTTTTTAAAAAAGAAAGATTTATTTCAATTTAACCAGGAATTCAAGGTTTCTTTAACATTGGAAAACTGATTTCTATAATATACCCTATCAGTAGAATAAAGGACAAAAAGCACATGATCATCTCATTTGATGCAGAAAAAGCATTTGACAAAATTCAACAAACTGTGAATACTCAACAATCTTTGAATTGAAAGAAACTTCCTCAACCTAATAAAGATTATCTATGAAAAACCTGCAACTGATATTATATTTAAATACTGAATGCGTTTCCTCTAAGACAGGAACAAGACAAGGATGTCCACTCTTATCATTTCTACTCACTCCTGTATTGGAGGTTCTAGTCAGGGCAATTAGGCAAGAAAAAGAATGAAAAGGTTTCAAGATTGGAAAGGAAGAAATAAAGCTGTCTCTGTTTGCAGATGACTTGGTTTGTATACAGAAAATCCTAAGGAGCTCATTAAAAAAACTATTAGAACTAATAAACAATTTCAGCAAGGTTGCAGGACAAAAAATCAATATACAAAAATCAATTGTATTTTTATACAGTAGTAATGAACAAACCAAAAGTGAATTAAGAAACAGTTCCATTTATACTAGCTTAAAAAGAATAAATTATTTAAGTATAAATTTAACAAAAGTATAAAACTAATACTCTGAAAACTACAAAAATTGTGGAAAAAAATTAAGGAAGACATAAATAAATGAAAACATATCGCATGTTTATGGATTGGAGATTTAGTATTGTTAATATAGCAATACTCTCCAAATAGATCTATAGATTCCACAAAACTTCTGTCAAAATCCCGCTGACTTATTTTCAGAAATTAACAAGCTGATCTTAAAATATATATGGAAGTAAATGTTATTCTTGAGAAAGAACAAAGCTGGAGGTCTCACACTTCCTGATTTCAAAACTTATTGTAAAGCTACAGTAACCAAAACAGTGCAGTACTGGCATGAAGATAGACATATAGATCAATGGAACAGAATTGAGAGACCAGAAAGACACTATCATATTTATGGTCAATTGATTTTTGACAAGAGTGACAATTCAATAGGGAAAGAAAAGTCTCTTCAACTCGGACAACTGGATAGCCACATGCAAAAGAATTAATTTGGACCCCTGCCTTACTCCATATATAAAAATTAACTCAAAATGGATCAACCACCTAAATATAAGAGCTAAAACTATAAAACTATTAGAAGAAAACATAGGGATAAATCTTCATGACCTCGGATTTAGCAATAGATTTCTTAGATTTGACACCAAAAGCATGAGCAACAAAAGAAAAAAAAAAATAGTGTTTTGACTTAATCAAAAGTTAAACATAGAATTAAATATGATCCAGTAATCTACTCCTAGGTATATACACAAGAGAATTGAAAACACATATCCACATAAAACTTGTACATGAATGTTCATAGCAGCATTATTCATAATAGCCAAAAAAGTAGAACCAAACCAAATGTCCATCAGCTGATCAATGAATAAAATGTGGTATATCCATACAGTGGAATATTATTTGACAATAAAAAGAAACAATATAATATGGTTAAATCTTGAAAACATCATGTTAAATGAAAGCTAGACACAAAAAGCCACATATTGTGTGATTTCATTTATGTAATAGGTATATCCATAGAAACAGAAGGTAGACTAATATTTACCTAGGGCTAGGAGCAATGGGGGAATTGGGGAGTGATGGGGGAAGTGGGGAGGTGACGGCTAAGAGGTATGAGATTTCTTTTTGGGAATGAAAATGTCCAAAACTGATTGTGGTGATGGTTGCACAAATCTTTGAATATACTAAAAGTCAGTGAAT